GGGGGTGAATGCTGAGCTTGCTGAGAAGCCGTGCAATTTGCCCTGGAAACCTTGCTCTTTTTATATTGACAGCACTGGTGAAGTACAGCAGTCTGTTCATGCCCAGAGGAACTTATTATGCTGTATATTCTAGGACTTGGCATTAGTACCAAAACCAGTTTCCAGGACTGACTGGTGGCATGTTTTAAACCTCACTGGCCGATGTAAATGCCTCCCTTTCTAAGTTTACTATAATGTGGCTTAGTTACAGCTTTATTGTATATATTATGATTATTCATGGTTTGATTTTTTTCAAGCCTTGGGCAAATTAACTAGACAAATTATGTGCCAACACAGTAGTCAATTTGGACTCTTACACAGGTCATCTAGATATGACTTTTGACAGCAGTTGGATCTCTAGGGTGGCTATTTATCAAAGGAGCTGCTCCTAAGATCAAGAAAAGCACCTTAGATACAAACCTCCGTTGTCCAGAAGACTGAATTTTCACATGGAACGAAAGTGTTCAGGCTATTTCCTTGGGCATTCCCCTAGCATGGATTTGCCAAAGCACTATTTCCGCTGACATAATGTGGGAACTTGTCGGAACTAAAAACAGAACAAAAGAGTTCTTGTGGAGTAAGTCACATGGTGGACCATTACACCATCTTTTTATTGGCAGTAAATTGCTCTCCAGGATGTTGGTTAGGAGTGCTCTGAAAACCAGATGTGTGGAACTCAGTTAGGTACCATTTATTGATCTTGCATGGAGTTATTGACACATTCAATTTAGCTTTGGCATTGAAATAGGCTGCCGTTGAAAGAAGCATTTGTGAAACCTTTTTTTAATGTCTAAGGAATCTAAATGTGTGGAAAGCCACTTAGAATCTGATACATGAAATACTTTTTGAAAGGGAAGGAAAACGTATTGTTCTAAATTAAAGTGTTACTAGGCGTACAAGCTATAATTTTGTACACATTCCAGTTAATTTAAAAGTCATTGGGTCGGATCCAAATGTGCCTTTGCATGTGAACGAGGTGTGCATGTGTCTGCTATGGATTGCCTACTTGTGATGCAGCCCTTCCCTAATCTGGGTGTTTCCAAGGTTCTTTGACCATCCGGAGTGGCTTTTCGCAAGGCACAGAGAGCATGCAGATCCATCATGCAAGCACGGCTCCTGCTTACAGTTTGTAGGGTCTAACCCAATGATCTTGAGTCATGCTGAGAGGTTTGGTGCTCCCATCTTCTTCTGTATATGTTTGTGTGCTGTCAAGTCGCAACCGGCTTTTGTGGACCCTGGGACCGTGGTGCTTTCAAGACAAGAGATGAGCAGGGGCGGTTTGCCTTTGCCTTCCTCTGCATAGCAACCCCTTAGTGGTCTTCCATCCAAGTACTAACCCTGGCCTACCCTGCTTCGGTTCCAAACTCTGATGACTCTGGGCTAGTCAGGGCTGTTCAGGCCGCTCTGTTCATCTCTTGCCTTGAACACCCCACAGATGGGGTTGCCATGAGTTGGCTGCAACTCGACAGCACATTATGCTTCTGTCATGTAGACCCAGGTTATTATTTTCCACCGCTGTGACAGCTTGCAGAATAGCACACATGTTATGAAGTCGCCTCGACTCGGAAAGAAAGAAAAAAGCCGCTGTTCAGCTCTCTGTTTTAAACCAGATTGCTTCTTGTCTGGCACTTGACACCAGATCTTTAAAAAAATGTCTATCAGTTTCTCTTGCTAAAATTAAACACGGATCCTTGGAGCAGAGCTCTAGTCATTGAGCCTGTTAAGAGGAACACAGAGGGGCACTGCGTTGGCTGACCGCACTGTTGTATAAGTAGCAGGGAAATCCATTCTGACGGCAACCTGAAAATGAATTATTTAGAAACAGGATCTAAAATCCAGATCCTGCCGTTCCCCGCCACGACATATTGCAAATAGTCAGAGACGAAGACGCCGTTTTGAATCTGCCACAAGAGAAGAGCGTGAGCAGCTGGTAAAGTACTGGCCCTTAATGAAGGCCTGCCGTATTGCACTATCTTATTACCGCCAGACTTAATTAGCTCATTCTACCTTGCCAATCTGGAGGGACCAAACCCTTATCTTGGTAGTAATATGTTTCAGCGTCTTCATTGTTGCCCATTACCGTTTCAACTGGCATCTTAGTCCGGGAAATTTTAAAGGTAGTTTAATTAAAAATTACGGAGACTATCTGAAAGGTGGCGACTGTACAATTCACAAGCAAGTGTATAAGAATGCTCTTGTTGCATGAGACAAAAATGCATCTGGTCCAGCATTCTCTTTCCAGCCATAGGATTCTGGGGATTTTAGAAGCATCACATCACTCCAATAACTCCTTTGTTGACTGGTCCTGATTTTCTGGTCTTCAGGGGTATGCTGCCCCTTAATTAGCTCATTCTACCTTGCCAATCTGGAGGGTCCAAACCCTTATCTTGGTAGTAATATGTTTCAGCGTCTTCATTGTTGCCCATTACAGTTTCAACTGGCATCTTAGTCCAGGAAATTTTAAAGGTAGTTTAATTTAAAATTACGGAGACTATCTGAAAGGTGGTGACTGTACAATTCACAGGCAAGCGTATAAGAATGCTCTTGTTGCATGAGAGAAAAATGCACCTGGTCCAGCATTCTCTTTCCAGCCATAGGATTCTGGGGATTTTAGAAGCATCACATCACTCCACTAACTCCTTTGTAGACTGGTCCTGATTTTCTGGTCTTCAGGGGTATGCTGCCCCGGAATACAGAGGCTTCATTTAGCTGCATTGGTGGTTGGATGTTGACAAAAGATATTCACCCATGCATTTGATCCTGTTAAAAGGAATCCAAGCTATCCCCATACCTTGCAGTAGTGAGTTCCTGGTTTTTTTTGTCATGAATCTGCTGCCAAGGAGTTTCATTGGGCAATCCCCGTGCTCTAATGCTGTGGTCTGAGAGGGCCGGTTCACCGCACAAGCAACCCAGTCCAGTTGGCTGCTTGGAGTGAAACAATTTGAGGTGGACACAAGGTGACAGGGATAGCATCATTGCTTCCTGGACCTGACCTGCCGTCAGTCCCGAGGTGCCCAAGGTCAAGGTAAGCTCCAGCAGTGCTGATTGGGGTCACACTGGGGCTTGCCTTTCTCCTCATTTCTGACCTCCAGTCAGTGTGTGTTGAAGGAGGTGATGGATGTCCACCTGGGAGGAAGGAGAGCACCAGCAGGCTCACCTTCCTCCTGGCTGCAAGCAGAGAAAAATACCTTGAGCCTGCCCTGACCCTCTATAGATGTATTGACAATCCCTGAAACATGTAGCAACACCCCCCAATGCAAATGTGTGTTATAATCTCAGTGCGATTGTTGGCATTCACTTGCAGGTGCATGAAAAGCAGGGAAATGGGTATCCATGTCCAGAAATTTATATAAGTAATGTGCAGGTATTCATATTCAAACCCATTTGTGCAGCTCACTGTACTTCTAAAGCAAGTAAAGGTTCTCTTCATACTTTGCACACTGAGCCACTTCATGCGTGTTTGAACAGCAACAACCATAATAGAAAAGGATAAACATCCGTGTAAAATGCAAGACAAGAAGCAATAAATGGATTGGATCCCATGATAGGCTGCCTGTTCTGTCAATGCAGCTCTGGTGATAACAACCCTGGAGAGAGTGGGCGCTTTCTTTCCCCTTCCCCAACCCCACGGCAGCCTCTTGACTCATGTGACTATCATTCCATGACGGTCCTGTGTCTTCCGGTATAAATTTTCCTGGAGTCGGAACAGACTGCTGGGGGCAGTGGTGGAATGCAGGAAGTATCCATGAACCTTGTGTCCATGGATTGAGGGCTCCAACACAATGAGAACTCAGTCTCTTAAGAAGGATAAATGAAATAATTGGTTTAATAGTGGGAAAGTAACCTTTCTGAATACTATTGGATGTATGACACAAGAAGAGAATGTCCATAACATGGCCATCCGTTTGATGATTTAACTTGGAAAAAACTCTCAAGATGGCTTATAAATCATAATTTAGAAACCAGGTGCTCTGTAGCGTCTATTTAATCTTGTGTGAATAGAGTCAGTTCAGTTGGGATTGTTACTCTTATCATCTTAAATAAGTAGAAGTTACTAAACTAGGAATATCTTGTGGTTTTAGGTTTTGGCCATACTAGGTCTTTCAGCTCTAAAAACCACTGGATATGTGAATGCCAGAAGCAGCTTTGTGATTTTTAAAAAAGAATTAACTGCTAATTCAAAGAATACTCATGTACAAATCAAGAAACCATTTGTGAGTACTTAGCAGAGATATAATCTATGGAGGTGAATATCTGTTTCAAGAACAGCTGGCTTATTGGAAATTCAGAATGAACAGCGTGACACCTATTAATGTTTATGTCATGGTGCCATGGAGCCTGCTGACACCTTTCCTGGCGTCTGCCAAGTGGCTTTTTAATGGGCGGGGCCAAATGGGGTTCCTGCCCAGTTGGCCATTAGATGTGACTGGCAGTGCAGATTAAAATAACCACAGTGTTGGTTTGATTCTCTTTCTCAGTGTATTTTTTTAAAGTTAGTCTTCTTATTCCAGACACTTGGGCTGGTAACCTTGTTCAGTTTATTTTTTTATTTTTTTATTTTTAGGCTTATACCCCATCCCTCCCCTGGGTCACAGGGCTCAAGGGGGTGGTTCTTGGAACCTGCAGTGTATATTAATAGAAGAGGCTATCTGATCCATGGATGCTCACATGAAAAAGCTGTGCTGAATTTAATCTCTAGTATATGTGTTCTTATTGTAACATTAGTAATGGTTCCTTAATCAATAACTGCGCAATGCCATTTTTGAAATGTTTCAGTTTAATGAGTTTTATACTCATTATACTCGTGCCACCAAGAACACCCAAAGATCCTAAAATGTCTCCTGGTCTAGCTGTGTTCATGGGTCCATTTAAGCAGGGGTTTTTTGTTGTTGTTTTGAAACGATTTTAATAACAGTAGCTTGAATATCCATAATCTGATTTATTCTGTTCTATACATACAGGACCTGATAGACATTCTCTGGAAGCAAGACATAGATCTTGGAGTAAGGCGTGAAGTTTTTGATTTCAGCCAGAGACAAAAGGAATATGAGCTTGAGAAGCAAAAGAAACTTGAAAGTGAGAGACAAGAACAGCTCCAGAAGGAGCAAGAAAAAGCTTTTCTAGCCCAACTGCAGTTGGATAAGGAAACCGGTGAATTTATTCCTATCCAGCCTGCTCAAGCCATTGAACCAGGAAACACAGATATATCCAGTAACTATCCAGAGGTAAGCAAACCAGTTTACTTTTCATCATGGTGAGCTTCATGTCGTACTTCTTTCTTTGTTTCTTTTAAAAGAAAAATGGTACCAAAGATGAACCCTGGTGCATTAGGCTAGTGGTCCATCTAGGTCAGCTTCCTGTTTCCTGTGTTGGCCAATCAGATGTCCTTGAAGGCCCGTAGAGGCCAGTGCCTCTTCCTGTATGTGTCCCTCACCAACTGGCAGAGGTTTACTGCTTCTGAACCTGGGGCTTCCATTCAGCACCACGGCTGACCGCCACTGATGGAGCTATCTTTCATGAAAGACATGGAAGCCTCCTTGAATATGTGTCCACTGAAAGAGGAGCTGTAAAGAAGCTAGAAGCCCCCCCTACATGTCTCAGTACATACAGTTTGGAGATCTGAATTGAGTCTGCACTTAAGTGTTAAAAGTTCCTTCTTCTTCATATTCAGAGTACCCACATTTCCAGACAAGGCGGAGATGGCTTCTACTTCGATGACTGTATGCAGCTTTTGGCAGAAACATTCTCATTTGTAGACAACAATGAGGTAAAACATTAGCCAGCTTGCTTTTAGTACAGTCCCTTTGTAAAAATTGTCCTTTCCGTTCTCTTTGATGATGCGCTTCATAATTCTGTGCACTGAGAAAAAGACAGCACTTGGATGTACTGAATATTCCTTGTGTGCATGTTTCTAAATAACATAAATGACAAAAGTTCACAGTGTAGTATAGTCAAAAATTATGTAATGCACACTATGAGTGGACTGCAATTGTAAACTGTATTGGTATCAATTGGTATCATCTATACAAATAAATTCAACAAAAAAATATATGTTGTCAGTGTCATAAATCTGTTGCAACCTTAAAATCTGTCCATTCATTCACAAAAATGTAACAAATGCTGACGTCAGCCTAGTGTCTGTAATCTATAGTCCCATTTTGATGTTGTGAAGATTGTTGATCTCAAGAAAGTGTGGAGCAACACCTTTTAAAACCTTTCTTCTAATGGACGGCTGCCTGTTAAAGTGAAATTGACAAGCAGGGGACCTGACAAAGAATTCTTCTGAAGAAGATATTGGTGTCCAAAATGGCAACTGACCTAGGGACCCGTAAAGACTAGAAGTTGTAATTCAGCTACTAAACACAGAAACCAAACTTTGAAGAATACCATCTTTATTTAACAGCTAAGACATTCTGGATATATTCCTTGCTGAGGGATCTGTCGAGGCTGCAGCTTTCACCACTCTCTATAGATTACAGACGCTAGGCTGATGTTAGCGTTTTCTAACTTTTAATGAATGAATGGAAAGGTTTTAAGATTGCAGCTGATTTATGACACTGACAACGTATGTTTGTTTTTTGTTGAATTTATTTTTATAGATGCTCATTATTGATACTAATACAGTTTACAGTTGCAGTCCACTCATAGTGTATATTATATAATCTTTGTTTCTATATAACAGCATAGCTGATGTAGTCTGTCTGATAACATTCCAGATTTCCTCGGCTGAATTTCAACAAGTGGTACCATGCAAGACTGAGAGCAACCAAGACTTTGTTGATTCTAATCAGATCTCCTCTGGTCTTCAGTTGTTCATTCCCGAGTCAGCTGATGCTGAGGCCTTGCAATATATAGAACAAGTCTGGGAAGAACTGTTGTCTATTCCAGAGCTACAGGTAAGAGCTGCAGACTCTGCCAAATGAATATTCAAGTATTGTGGACAAACTGAAAAAGTGTAAACCAAGTGTTAGCTGTTTCTGTTCCTGGATAGCCAAGAGGAAGGGATTATGGGTCAAGATTCAATTCTGGTTAGCGCCAGTTAAAAAGACCTCACATTGCAGGGATTACGAGAAGCCCTCTCTCTGTCCTAGAGCAGCCGCCAATCAGAGGAGGTGTTACTGAGACGGATAGATCCAGTAATCTGAATCTGTAGGTGTTCGTATAGGATCCTCCCCCAGTGACTTGCTGAAACTATTGTCAGATCTACATTAACAAGATTGAAGGCAACATCTCGAAAACATAGACAGTTGTATTTGCTCATAAACCAATACTGCAGGTAGAGAGCCAGTGAAGTGTAGTGGTTAGAGTGTTGGACTCGGGCTCAGACCCTCAGTCACTGCATAACGTTGGGCCAGCCACTCACTGACATAGACTGTCTGCCCAGCCTATCTCATGGGATTGTTATGAAGACAAAATGGAGAGTGGACCACATACCCAGAGCTTCTTGATGGAAGGGCAGGATAAAATGTATTAATGAGATGAAGAAATGGTTCCCCCCTTTGTCAGACACTCCAGGAAGGTCAGGGGGAAACCAGCAATGGAGGACCTTGTTTTCTTAGCCTCCCCGGAACCATTTGGCTATTGTTTGCTCCTGAAACCGTAGCCCATGCACTCTCACCAGGTACCTGCCACAACCTGTTACCTTGAGATCTGAGGCAGAGTCTGATAAGCCCAGTTCTGCCTTTCTCTGTCACAAACACACAGGGTTGCCAGCTCGGGGTTGGGGAATTCCTGGAGATTTGGGGGGGGGGGTTGGGGAAGGGAGGGACTCCAGCAGGGTATAATGCCATGGAGACCCTACTTTCAAAGCAGCCATTTTCTCCGGGGGAACTGATCTCTGTCAGCTGGAAACGAGCTGTAATTCTGAGAGCGCTCCAGCCACCGCCTGGAGGCTGGCAGCCCTACATATACTTCCAAACAAACATGCAGCCTGACTCACTTGAGAGCCGGCCTACACAAAACTCAGGCATCCTGTACCCAAACAATCTAGGGCTGACACAGGCTCTTCTTTCAACAAGGTCTAATTTTATTTGGGGGGGAACAGAGTAAGAAGGGGTGGTGTATGCAGCTACTTGCCGCGAAGGACAAAAACGGAAGGATTTCATGCATACAGAATGCAAAGGAAAAGTTAAAATAATGCCAAATGCTTATGCAACCCCACTAAATGGGGTACTGGCTTAAAAGCTTACAATTCTTCAGGGCCCTGAGGTTATCTCCGAAGGGAATTCTCTTCTGTTGCTTGCTCCAGGAAAAGGCAATAGTCACTGCTGCCCCAGGGTTCTATCAGTCTTGTTAACAACTGCACACTCCTTGCAGGGATAGGTGCTCTTTTCCCATTCTGCCTGGTGCTAGGCCTATCAGCCGTTTCCTTTTGGAGGAGAAACCCTATTCCTCCCTTTGGGGCTTTGTGATTTGCTGTCCTGTTCCCCACTCTTCGTAGAGAGGCTCTCCAAAAGCATTGTCTGATTTTGGAGCATGGGTCTCATGACCGATGCTCCCTCTAAGCTGTGGAGTCTTGTGAGCAAAAATCCTACTTTGTGAGCTGCTGGCATTAAAGTTGTGAGCGAGCGATTCAGCTACTGAACAAATTAGTTTGCTCTGGAGCCATCCTGCCAGAGCTAAGACAAAAATGTGTGAGCTGGAGGCTAAAAAACTGTGAGCTAGCTCACACTAAGCTTAGAGGGAACACTGCTCATGACTCCTTGTAATCAGTTTAGAGCCCAGTCCAGAATGTACATATGCTCAGTGAACTTGCGGTGAATTCTTAAACAGAGTTATCCCATTCTAAGTTCACTCATGTCATTGGGCTTACAAGGGCATTAACTCTGCTTTGGCATGCACTGTTAATTACAGAAAAGGGCGACATTGTGGTAGCGCCATCTATAGAGTGAACACACTTGGTGTGTCCCATTGTGGATGAGGTGCATGGCCTTTGGGTGGGGCAACCTGTGTTGTAATTTCTGTAGAATTTCTTCCCGGCAGCCAGCGCTGGAGAGAAGTTCTTGGAAAGCCTTCTCTGACCCTTATCAATGGCGGGGCGAGGCTTGGGTGTGGGTGTAGCTTGTAGCTTTCAGCCCCTTCAACTTAAAGTTGATCAGACATTCCAGTGCTGCAGTGGCATGCCCACGCCCTCAGAGTGTTGAAGAAAGTTTGTAAAATCTCCTGGCACAGAGGGAAGAAATTGTCACTCATCAGCAGGGATGCCACAGGCAGTTGTGTAGCTCTCTTGTGTGGGTCTTCAGCATTGAGAGAGGTAGTGGCAGAAAGGGATAGTAGTTTGTTTAGTGCATTTTTTTTTTAAGTTTGCCCTTTTCCCAAGGAGCTTAGGGCAGGATACATCGGACCCTTGTCCTACTCACAAGAACCCTGTAAGCAATGCTCCCTCTAAGCCGTGCAGTCTTGTGAGCAAAAATTCTACTTTGTGAGTTACTGGCATCAAAGTTGTGCAATGTTCCCTCTAAGCTGTGGAGTCTTGTGAGCAAAAATTCCACTTTGTGAGCTCCTGGCATTAAAGTTGTGAGCAAGCGATTTGGCTACAGCATAAATTAGTTTACTCTGGAGCCATCATTCCTGAGTTAAGATGAAAATGTGTGAGCCGGAGGCTAAAAAACTGTGAGCTAGCTCACACTAACTCAGCTTAGAGGGAACACTGGCTGTGAGCGAGTGATTTGGCTGCTGCATAAATTAGTTTGCTCTGGGGAGCCCTCCTTCCCGAGCAAAGACAAAAATGTGTGAGCCGGAGGCTAAAAAAACTGTGAGCCAGCTCACACTAACTCAGTTTAGAGGGAACACTGCCTTGTGAGGCTGATTAAGTTGAGAGTGGGTGGCCCAAGGTGACCCCGGGAGCTTTAGGGCAGAGTGGGGATTTGAACCCAGAGTGCAGAGGAATTAATAAACAGAACGTTCTTAAGTTTATAGGTTCCAAGCACCCAAATGACCTTTCTGTGGTTCGTCTCTTCTTGGCAGAGATTCTTACAGCCTGGGGGGGCATAGTTATCTGCATGATTTCCCCCTTCTCTTGCTCTGTGCCCCAGCAGACTTATCAGGATCGAGAGACTAGAGAGATACGTTTGGGAGACAGCTTCACAGTGCCAGGCTAGAGTACTCTTCCACAGCATTAGAAGGGCATAGCTTGGACAACACGGGGATCACCGCGGTGCGCATTGTCAGATATTACAATCACATATCTTGGGAGCCGGCCAAATGCATGTATTGAGACCATGCACTACTCATGATCCTTCGCCTTAGGTACCTGTACATGTCAACACGAACCCTGAAAAATTTAGCGGCCAGTTCATGTGGTTTGGAGCTTGGTTAAAAACACACATTGGCACTGTTCACACAACTTGGCAGGAGCACACATTGGGAGGCTCTATGCATGGCCGGGAAGCTCCGGTTACGCAGATTTCTAATATCTGAAAAGGTATATCATATGTATATTATTGATGACTTCTGGCATTTCTTTTTAGTGTCTTAACATTCAAAATGACAGCTTGGCTGAAGTAACCTCAAGCACGTGCTCAGACAATACGGCATCGGAGGCAGATATTAACTTCGCCTTCTACAGTGCGCTGCCTGCCATGGAGAAAGAAGTGGCTCCCTGCGGCCTAGAGTTCCCGAACCATTTGGAGCCTTCCTATCCCAGCAGTGTACTGCCGGATGATCTCAAGCAAGAGACCTCTACATCCCCAAGCACTGACTTTGGTGAGGAGTTCTACCCTTTCGTTGATGTCAAGATGGACAGTGACATGTCTCTGACACCACCACCACCTTTTGTGGATCAAGCCCTCACTGGCTTTCTAAACGAGCCCATCGATCTTTCCGATTTTGCTCTGTGCAAAGCTTTTAACCGTGACCTGGCAGGAAACGCTCTGGAAGGGAATGATTCGGACTCCGGCATTTCACTGAATGCAAGTCCCAGCACAACTTCTTCTCCTCATTCTGTTGAGTCATCCGCTCTCTACAGAGACGCAGGCTTTGGCTTCAGCGATTCCGAGATGGAAGAGATGGATAGCGCCCCTGGCAGCGTCCAGGGAAGCAGTGCTAAAGTGCACACCTTTCACTCACATGTCCCAGCCTCTCTGTCTCTTGAACCAAACACACAAAGGCCAGACTCACGACTCACAGACACACCCCAAAAAGAATTACCTGCCAACCCTGGTCATCCTGAGTCTCCGTTTGTGAAGGACAAACAGAACAGCCAGCATGATGCTCAGCTCACAAGAGATGAGCTCCGAGCAAAGGCACTGCGCATCCCTTTTTCCGTTGAGCAAATCATCAACCTCCCTGTGGATGACTTCAACGAAATGATGGCCAAGGAGCAGTTCAACGAGGCCCAGCTGACTCTGATCCGGGACATCCGCAGGCGAGGCAAGAACAAAGTGGCTGCGCAAAACTGCCGGAAAAGGAAACTGGAGAGCATAGCGGAGCTGGAGCACGACTTGGGTTATCTCAAGGATGAGAGAGAGAAGCTCCTTAAGGAGAAAGGAGAGAATGACCAAAGCCTGCGGCTGCTGAAGAAGCAGCTGAGCACCCTCTATCTCGAGGTCTTCAGCATGCTCCGGGATGAAGAAGGCAAGCCATATTCGCCGAGCGATTATTCGCTGCAGCAAACCAGAGACGGCAACATCTTTCTCATTCCTAAGACCAAGAAGCTAGAGACTAAATGACGGGGGATCAGGGAGATTTGTGTTTGCAGGGCTACTTCTGGCTTAACATTTCCCCCACAATGCAAAACGTGTCCTATTTTCAAGTGACTTTTACACTATTCTGAGTATATACATATATACTTAAAAATCATTAGGTTAAAACAAACGCATGCACAATGGGTATAACTTTTATAAAGCACTAGTTCCTCTCTTTTGATATAGCAGCCGATTGATTCCTTTCTATTCTTGTGTAAATAATTTCAGGATTTCTTATTTATATACTTTCCCTATTGTTTCACTGAACTGCGTATCAAGCACAATGATCTCATTTAGCTGAAGACCAGTCTTGCGTTTTCAAGTCGCGCCGTTTTATAACTATAAATGGAACTTTGGTTGTTTCTTATATTTTTACTTACTTTGCTTCATTAAGAATGCTTGAATGCAGTCTAAGCACACGATTAAGGTGCCACACAGCCAGAGTTCAACACTGCAGATGACAGTGGGCCTTTGAAGTGCTTATCTTTTGCTGGATTGCACCCTTAATTTCTAAGTATAAACATGCTTTGCATATGAATGTATGCTTCAAGGGATAATCTTTAGACTTTGGACTTACTTGGGGGGGGGATGGGATGTGGGTTACCAGTTGATTACAATCAGGACTATACAATAATCTCCTGTAATATGCTTCAAAGTGCGTGGGATCGCTGGAAATCTAAAAAGCCAGAGGGGGTGGTTGAGTAAGTGTCCACGATTTCAAGTTCTATCGATGACTAAATTTTTTTTTAAAGGGACAATCATCTCAGTTGCATTTATGCAGTTCACCTTTCTCTTGACAATGGACTTCAGATAGTTGAATAAACACTTTTAAAAAACTAGAACAATCCTATCGACTTCTACGTTGTGTTACGCAGTACACAGCTTCCAATTTTTAGACTACGGACCTGATCTGTGTATAAAAGCTGGTCTCCTGTATATGGAAAGTAGTTTGTATAAACTAACACAAAGGAAATAGACAGGGACATTTTAACCAGTTAAGAACAGAAAACACAGAGATTTAAGTCCTGATTTCAGTGAAACAGAGTCCTATAAAACTCTGGAGGATGCTGTGACTGAATTCATTATGATTCACCTGTTAAAAGAGGTTTTGCCAGATGCTTTTAAACTTTTGTTTATAAAGCACTTCAGATATAGATGCTAAACAGTTGGATACAGAGATTAAACAGATTGCATTCATCCTTCAGTTCTGAAGGTTTTTGTACAATAGTATTTTGGGGTCACTGGGCATTTTAGTCCTATTCTCATCTTTCTCCCAACCCCAGGGTTTTAATACTATTTTGCCAAGTTAAAATTTATTCTAATATAATCATCTAACTATGTTGCACTTGTGGCAGTAGTACCTCTGACGAGATGAACATAGAAAGTTTGAGCATTCCAATTGTTCAACCAAGTTAAGTGGCTGAACCATTTGTAATTCAGTTTAGGGAAGGCGGGTAAAAGGTCACTTTGGCACAAAGTAAAAGCTTGACATGTCGTAAGAGACAGAAGTCAGTTTCTGGAACATGCTTTTTTTTGCGGGGGGGGGGTGTTCCAGAAAGAGGGAAGAAAGAAAAGAGCAAAGGAAGGGTGGAGGCAGTGAGATGAGAAAGTACTGAAGGTACACATGGAAGGCTTTCCAAAAGGATGGAAGAAATTTCACACTACAGATGGGCAATGCTCCCTCTAAGCTGTGGAGTCTTGTGAGCAAAAATTCTACTTTGTGTGAGCTACTGGCATTCAAGTTGTGAACGGACGATTTGGCTACTGCATAAATTAATTTGCCGGAGGCTAAAAAACTGTGAGTCACAGCCCACTTAGGGTTTTCAAGGCAAGAGACACTCAAAGGTGTTTTGCCATTGCCTGCCTGCAGCATAGCCCTAGACTTCCTTGGTGGTCCCCCACCCAAGCATTAAACAGGGCCAACCCTGCTTAGCTTCTGAGATCTGCCTAGCCTGGGCCATCCAAGTCAGGGCTCGTGTGTTGTATTTACTTGGAGGTGGCTCAGTGGTTAAGATGCTTAGCTGCAGACTGGAAGGTCAGTAGCTCGGCAGTTCGAGACCCGAGTGCTGCGTGACGGAGTGAGCGCCTGGTTCCTAGCAGTTCGAAAGCAAGAAATTGCAAGCAGATACATAGGTACCGCTTCGGTGGGAAGGTAACAGCGTTCCGTGCCTTGGCGTCTAGTCATGCCGGCCACATGACCATGGAAACATCTTCGGACAGCGCTGGCTCTTCAGCTTTGAAACGGAGATGAGCACCGCAACCCTAGAGTCGGACTCGACTGGCTTTCGAGCAAGGGAACCTTTACCTTTGCTTCTTTTAAAATGTTGATGCTAATTGATTTACACCTTTAACAGAGGCTTGAGCTAGATACTTGCTGTATCTATTCTCTCTACAGGCCATTCTGCATTCTACTGGAAAGATGGCACACCTACATATTAAGGAAACTGCACACTCTTCAAGCACTTAGACTTTAGACATATTGTGGAAACTGAAAGTATCTTAAGCAAGTCAACTCCGGCAACATGGAACAGTGCAGACCTAATAACTACATGAAACTAATAAAAGAGAGAGGCATGACAAATTATGGCACTTTATTGTAAACATCTGAACAGCACAGGTTTGAGACCACAGCCATCCGTTTTGGGTGTCATTTACATTTTCTGTCTGTTATTTGTGCGCTACGTCGTCTTTCGCCTTACAGAGATCAGATGGTCAGGATTAGTTATCCTGCAGAGCAAAAAAAAAAAGTCACAAATCTAGCACATTAAGATAGGCAAGGACCCCACCTTTGCAAAGACGTCATGGGGGAAAGGGGCATCACTTGTCTACTGGTCTGCCCCTTAGCACTCATCCCACCTTCCGCACTATCTATCTAACCCCATATCTGGCAGAGTCCTATCTGGCTGATGCTCAACCCACTGCACACAGGATTTACATCTTCCCCGCCTTTCCTAGCCTCAGAGGTCCAGTAGCTCTTCGATGCTTGGGGAGAAAAAGATAGGAAAGGTAAAGGTGCACTCACCCCCACACTATGTTCTGTTGGGCAGTGATGAGCTGCATATAGCTTGGCCTTGTCCCCGTTTTACAAGAATGAAAGCAGGGAAAGGGGTCCTGTTTTTCACTCACGATGCCTGAAGATAACAGAAAACCACACTCCAGAAACATGCTCTGATGCAGCCATTTCAAACATCTGCGTTCCAGATAAGGATTTGTAATATGTCTGTTAGCATGAACTGTAAAGGCAGAAGTCTACAATTCCAGCACCACCCATGGGAATGGAGGAGAGGCGGAAATGTGATGCCAAGGGGCCAGTCGGTAGGGATGGTTTGGAAACATGATCCTGCCTTCTCTTATATGCAGACAGATTCTGACTTCACAAAACTGAAAGGTATAAAATTTGGGGTTGGATTCCACCTAGGGGTGTGTGCATTCGGCTATAGTTGAACGGAAACACCCCCCCCCCCGAAAAATACCTTGTCAGTATTTTGGGGGTATCACCTAAGCCAAATACAGATCACAATTCTGTATTTGGCTACCGGTATATCTGAACCCGAAAAAGCTGTAATCACCCGGCTTTATTTCGGGTTCATTTCGCTATACGAAAAACGTCTCATTAAATGTAATAGCCAGCTCAGCCTCCAGTCAGCTGTTGGGTTTAAATGCCTTTCTTTCCCTCCCCGATGTTGGGGAGGGAAAGAAAGGCATTGTAAACATGCCTGCTTCCCTTACCGATCTGCTCCAGGCTGGGAAGGGAAGCTGGCATGTTTGCCTGGCTGCCCTCGGTCTCCCCAGCCAGCCCACGAAGGCGCGCAAGCTGGGAAGACTGAGGGCAGCCAGGCAAACATGCTGCCTTCCTTCCCTGGGCCTAGGTTCCCTGCCTGCCCTTTTCAAGCTACAATCTGTCAGCTAAAGAAGGGAAGGCAAAGAGCCAGGCTTTCCCTTGTCAATTTCACTCCCAGCTGACTAGCTGGGAATGAAATTGACAGGGAAATCTGCAGGGTCTACCAGAGGGAAAGAAGGCATTTTAACATGCCTCCTTTCCCTCGGGTGGTGTAAATTGGACCCAAATATATTCGGGAATACCGAATATAGACCCAGTCCGAATATCTTACCGGTATTTTACTGGGGAAATTTGGTATTTACCAATATTTTTCAGGTCTGATTTACCAAACCCGAAAATACCGTGGGTTTGTTTTTGCACACCCCTAATCCCACCAGCTTTTCCACTGATAAAAACTAAAAAGGAATTATCCCCTTTGACCATTATGCTGGGGGGTCGTGGGATCTGCATAGACAACAGCCAAGCAAGTGAACAGGGAAATTTAGACTGAGTGAAGAAGCTGGCTGAATTCAATCCCATATTTACCGTCAAAGAGCAAGGAAGACAACTGACTAGAAAGCAAGAACTCATTCTCAGAAGAAAAACTTCTATACCTGAATCATTTGAAGAGGCATCATGTTCCAGATGATTGAGTTACCAGTTCCCTTGCCTGAAAATTAGTAAAGCAAATTAGCAAGGTTACTGGCGGAAACCTACCATTTCAATAAACATGTGGGAGACTGCTAAGTGACTTCAGTATAACCACCAGCATTTTCTAATCTCCATTCTAAAGAAAATGCTTAATTATCACTACCGGTTGTAGTTAATCTACCTATAAACCAGCCAGATGAGGCTTTCATTTTTAATACTGGGTCACACAGTTTTATACCTTGGAAGCAGAACAATGCATGTTGCATATTAGCATTTGTTTTTGTATTTGCATAGCTTTTCCAGTCACAGAAGCTGGATACTGTCAGTCCAGAATTCTGGGCAGTTCAACATTTTATATTGTACTAGAGCAGTGGCTCTCTAAATTATTGAAGGGTGACACACTTCTAAGCCTACTGTTGCACTCAGAATTCACTTGCAGAATAACTCTTTGCTACTTTCTTCCTCTCCCAACATAAAACACAGAATTGCACACAGGTATATAGATTTATTTTTCATGTTTTGTTTCTCATCACTGAGCAACAAGCTGTACATTTCATGGCCATTTTACACATTACGGAGGGGCAAACCAGAATTTGCCATTTGAGTCTCCCAGCCCCCCCCCCAACTTATCCCCTCCTCCTGTCCTTCCAAAAACCACCCGCAAGTCAGTCACAACCAACTTTGAGGTCCCAGTTTACTGCTAACAACCACTAGACTCAAGGGTCTTACCAAGTCAACATTTTTCTAACAGGTTAAGAAATTCAAATCTTGTCCAGCAGGGAGTTCTTCTATGACCTGCAAGTCAAAGAGATTATTCTTACCTTGTCCAGAAAAGGGATGCTCTTTAATTCATGAAAAGTGTTAGAGACAAACCTTACCTATTCTTATTCCCCTTCCTTTCAGGTCTAAACGCTAGACCTATGACTTGGGGTCAACTCAAGTAGCTATGACTCAGGGAGGCTCCAACTGGTGAAGAACTCTTGCTAGACTTTCTTCGATATTTCAGCAGTGAAAGGTAGTTTTAACTAGCAGCTGTCCAAAAGCTCACTACCAGCATAGTATCTTATGCTTTCACTTTTCTGGAAGATGAAGCTGGTGCTGTGCTGTCGCTGCCTCGTCATTCTTTAATTATGCTGACTGGTCCACATACACAACAGGCTGCTGAAGTCCTGTCTGAGTCTCCTGCGATCCACACTTTGGCTAAGACACACGTCCTAGAGTCTTTAAGGCTGGTAAATCCACTCTCCTCAGCTTACACTTCTCCACATTTCCATCAAAGAACTAGGTCTAAGTCACTGGCACCAACAACAGGCAGCTTGCAGATTTCATATTGAGGATTGCAAAACAAGGGTAAGACACTACATGATTATATTAAATGGTTTTCCTGTATGGCTGTTGTGAATTCCATGACGGACCCTGTCAAGACTCCCTCCCACCACATACACAGACTGGGAACAGATGAAATCCCTCAAACCCATCCTCTGGTTCTGCCCTGGCAATCAACAGTAGCCCTGGCCGCGATGATTCAGGTCTATTCTGTCCTTGCAAAAGGAAAAAAGTGCACCGTACAGCTTAGTAATGTGTAGATTCCAGACCACAATACCAAACCGACGCTCATTTGACAAATTTTGCCTGAGTATAAACAATCTGCCACTTTGGGCAAATTCTGGAAAGGGTGGGATATAGACCTTTTACGTAAATAAGCAATTAAACTCTCTCCCCTGAAAATGGAAAGCACACTAAAAGGCCAGCCACCTATTTTCCACTTTAATACATTCTAATATGTTTGATCTTGATGAGTGCAGTCCTGGCCCAAAGTTAAATGAGATCTCACCACAGCATTCTATACCCAACCACCTCGATGGTGTGCCTAAAGAGGCCAGAATCAAAACTGTCATATTTCAGACCCCCCTCTTCTAGAAACCTAATGGAGATTGGCTGAAATCACAACAGATCCAAGATGAATTATTTTATAATGTCCAACAATCCATTCCTATACTGAAATTAGGTTTACCTTTATACTGTTCATTGGCCTAGAGAAGAAGTAACAAGATGAGAAATTCCAGCATCATACTGGCAAGTGTCTGAGTTTCTTCTACTCACTGTGCCCTACTCTTCGGGATGTGTATTGACAGAAAGCACTGCTCTGGCAATAGTTGAAAGAGAAGTCTGATCGGATTGAGAAGGATAGCAAATTAGTAGGGAACATACTTGTATGCAAATTTTGGGTAAGTGAAGGAGTAAACGCAACCCACTTATCATGAAGCTTTGAAACATCACTCTGATGGCATTAAAAAAAAATCTTAAATTTTTATTCTAGTCACAAGACTCGCTGTTCACAACAAATACATCATGTTCAGCCTAGGCCACGAAGCAATCGGTTTTCGCTTCGCCTTCAAGGCTGACAGCATATCAGGAGGTGTGTGAAGCACATTGGCTGGTTTGCCCATAGTCAGAAAGTTTATACTTGTTCCAAAGGACTTGGGGAAGGGATTATGACTGCACTGTGACTTGGTTCCAGGGAGAGAGGGCAGCCAGAAGAGCATGCAGTAGAAGTTATTAACCATTACATTTAATGGTTAAGTATAGCTATTAGAACAAACCCACTTTTTTAGGGCAGAACAAATGAACCTACATAGTTGTAAGCTAAGTAACAGACCCAGGATATTTGCTTGAAAAGTTTAATTCAATGATGTGTGTGCACTTAATCTGTTCGTCATTCCGGGAGATTAAGCCCCGACAGCAATAAAAGGCAGAGGCCTATTCTGCCGGCGTTTAAGGGCTGATGCACCTTCTGCATATATCGACAAAAACGAGAGGCAAACTGAATAAAGCTTAAAAGAACTTTCATACTAATTTACTTAGAAGGCTTAAACTAAGAGACAAAAGCTACAAATTATAAGCACAAGTCAGAAATACCTGGAATTTTCTTTTGAAAATAAAGCTTTTTTTTTTTATCATTCACAAGCACTACTTTAAATGACTCAGTCCTAGTTATACGGCTAGACAAGCTTTAATGCAAACATCTCTCCCCTCCCTTTGCATGTGCAACTCATTTCGTATGGCTACATATGCGGTAAAACTAAAAGTTCTTAAACGATTCAGCAGTTTCACAAGTTTTAAACTAATACAAGATTATAATGCACTGATTTTTTTTCCTAGCAAGAATATACCCTAAAACTACATTTCTTTATTTAAAGAAGTTTAAGAAAAAAAAAACTGAACTACACAAGAATTGAAAAATTAAAAGTTCCTTAATTATTTTTTAATTTCTGGTACCACTACCACAAATTTACAGGGCAATATACCTGATTTTATAAAGGAAAAGACAAAAGCTACAATGACAAATTTAAAAAAAGAAGTCAGGAATGTACATCTAAACACTACAATGCATTAAATCGATAGCTGCACTCCTTTTGCAAACTGTGGCTATGACAGTCTTTAAGAAGGGTTTTCTGTTTAAGCTGCAGTAACTTTTCTGACTATGGTTCATCGCTCCTTCTGTGGCAGATTTTACAGCTCCTCTAATGCATTTGGGACGACTGTCTCAAAGTAACCTGCAGCTTTCCTGACAACTCCTCGCTCTCTCCTGCTAAGAACTGTAGCCTGTTGAATACACGATAAGAAAAGGATTACTCTCAACGAAATGTTGCGTAGTCTTCATATACAATGCTTGTTTATAATATACCTACCCCTCATATCTGCTACATATTTTAGAACCTTCTTCCACCATAGCCACCGCTTCCTCCTCCAGATCCATATCCACCTGCAAAACAGGAAAAGGAACATTTACTTCATCGCAAGCAACGCGCTCTGGGCCCACACTATTCTGATCAATTTATATATTTACCGCCATAGGGACTGCCTGAGCTTCGGCCACCAAAACTGCCACCCCCTTTCATGGGCCCATAGTTCGATGGCTGCTGCCCACTGTAATTGCCAAAGTCATTATAGTTTCCACTGCCACCGTAGTTGCCTGAGGAGAACATAATTGTTTTAATTTCTCATTATCACTTAGGTCATATGTTCTTTGCAGATATTAAATCACAAATCATTCAAGTTAAGCACAAAAGCAGTACTGCAGATATCTTAGTACACAACAATTTTTTCCCCACAGCTCTGTATTTACTGCATACGCATAATGAACATTACTGGATCTGACAGACAGGATTAAGACTGGATCCTACCAACTTTTCCACTGGCAAAAGAGGGAGAAGGAGCCCCTTTTGATTATCAAAGAAAACTGGGGATCAGGGGACCGATGTGGGCAAAAGCTACATGAGACAGGGGCTACAGTGAGGAAACTGGGTAAGGTTAAGCAGAAAACAACAACATGCTGTTCCCTGCCTGATGGTATCATTAACACTTTAGAATTCCAAGTGTCACCAAGTTTAAAACTCCTGGAGTAAATGTGAACAAAACCACGACTGTTGAAAGCTCATCAAATATAGTTCTCTATATAAAGCTTCCAGGACAACCACCAAGTCTTCCATACTCCCCAGATCTGTGTCATGCACACAGCCAGCTACACAGCAAAAGGGTTCTTCCTATCTGCTCAAAAAAGAGAACAAAAAACCACAGAGGCAGGAAAGAGCTGACAACCCACTGGCTCCTCTGGAAGCTTCTCCAAGTAAAGCGTGTGCTCTAAGGAAGACACACTAGACAGTATCGTGATTTAAATAAAACCCTTCTTGAGCGAATACTGTGCCCCAAACCTGGCTAGAAAGCTGTAATACCATTCCCTTCATTGGATCTTTAAAGGCTTGCTACATGTTTGTATGGAGGTACGTTATCAGCTCAGTTCTAAGAGTAAAAGACCTGGCCCGAAGAAAGACAAGACACTGAAGTACATGCCATCCCAAGGGGTGCATACAGTTCATTTTAGGTCAAAAACAGTGTAACGTTCTTAATGTCATGGAGCAATTCAATTAAAGGGGGAGAATGAGGACCTGAACCTTTGCCTGCCCTACTCAGATTAGAAGAAGAGATTGGATTTATACCCCACCCTTCACTCGGAGTCTCAGAGCGGCTTACAAACTCCTTTCCCTTCCCCTCCCCACAACAGACCACCCTGTGAGGTAGGTGGGGCTGAGAGAGCTCTGAGAGAACAGCTCTTTCAAGGACAGCTCTGACAGAACTATGGCCCGCCCAAGGTCATCCAGCAGCTGCAAGTGGAGGAGTGGGGGATCAAACCTGGTTCTCCCAGATTACAGTCTGTGCACTTAACCACTACACCAAACTGGCTCTCAGATTCTCTCATAATCTCTTAGATTATGAAGTTATAAGATATAATTTTTAAAAAGTCTTACCACTGAAGTTTCCTCCTTCATTGTAACCATCATAGCTGCCACCTCCCCCGCCATATCCAGTGCTTGGGCTTCCATAGCTTGGGCTCCCACCATAGCCTCCTCTGCCACCATATCCAGGACCACCACCATAGTTTCCGCCACCTTGGGACATATCAATTGAAATCAAGACCATAAAGTGTATTACTTATGTTTGCAACAAACCATTTCATCATTTAGCTTTTTCCAAGTATCCACCTATCTGTAAAACTGTATGTAGAAATGACATCCAATAAAGACTGTGACTAGCACAAAAGGCATATTTACATCATAATGGCTTCCATAAAGTTGCAATAAAGTCAAGAAACTGTTAAAGCAAAGTTGTTTGAGGAGAAGTGTACTCACTGTATACTGAACAAAATTAACAGAAACCATTTTGTGTGTGTTAACTTCCATTTTGCACTTTGTGCTAAATGCATTTTCTAACTTAAGGACTGGTTCATATTAAGGATATACATCACTTACTTACTGGAAGATGACCATCTAACTGATTAAGGATTTTATTGTTTCACCTAATCATATAAATATTCAGAAAGCGTGTGCAACAATTTCTAAACATGCTAAATAAGTGGCCTAAAGATATGTTATCTTTTGGTTATTTATCCAGATCAAAGAAGCACTGGGCATTATCCAACGGTATCTTGGGTGCGGTTAGTGCCAATTGTTTTATCAATCGTTTTATTTTTGGATGCAATAAATGCATACAATTTCTCTTCATGCCTTGATTTCTCTATCGAGTTGCCAGCTGTCCTTTCGCAATGATCATTTTAAGATACATTTATCTGAAAGACTCAAAGAGCCCTTGGTGTTTGGAACAGCTTTCTGACACAGTATCTTTGGTTCCTCTTTAAGCAGCTTCAGTCTAAGTGCCATCAGCATCAGTCTGCTCACCATCACCAAAGCCGTTGTATCCATCGCCACTCCCGTAACTTCCTCTGCTGCCACTGCCACCACTGCTACCACCTCCACCACCGTAGCCTCCTTAATCAAAACAAAATGTTAAGGTACCAGAATAATTCAGACAAGCATGATGACTCGCTTTTGAAGGGGTGTAGGGTGGACACCCAGCATGGATTTACCTCTGCTGCCAAAGCTTCCACCTCTACCACCAAAACCTCCACTACTGCCTCCAAAGTTTCCACGGCCCATGAAGCTGCCTGAACTGCTTCCACGATCTAAAAAAATAAAACAACATTTTCTTGAAATAAATGAAAGCTACTATCTTCACCAGCAAAATAATTATACGCTGTGTAACAAACTCACTTCTCTGAGCGGTAGCAGTCTGCATTTCTTGCTTGGAGAGGGCTTTTTTCACTTCACAGTTATGTCCGTTTATAGTGTGGTATTTCTGAACTAAAAGCAAATTTTCAAAATGATTATCAGAAAGACACATGGCCTTTTAATAACCATGCATGCAAGCTTATCCTAAAAAAAGCCATTTTCACAGTTGTATTACTATTTATATTCGTTCGTAATTTTTAGATTTAATATTAAAAGCAACTCATATAAAAGCAAAACAAAAGGTTTGATACACTGTATAAAACAAAAAGGAGAATCAGAAGACTGCCAGAGAAGAAATTCTTGGTAATACAGTGAGTTATCCACCAACTGGCAAAAAGAGTAGGAATATCTCTGGGTCAGTCTCCTTGGGCAGAACATTCAAAAAAGGGTATGATGGCAGAAAGAGTCCTGTTCTACACCCATGAAAGGTACATGATGAAATGTAATTTCTTCAGACCCTGAGAAAGTAGAACAGAAGAACACGTAGGAGAAGGTACTCCCTTAAGTATGCAGGAACTAGACCACTTAGGTAGGGCTGCCAAGTCGCCCCGGGGGGCGGGGAAACCCCCGTCCCAGAGGCCCGTTTCCCGACGCCGGGGAATTGGGCCCCGGGGGGAACCCCGCCCCAGCGTGTGCGTCACCAGGAAGTGACGCTATGACGCCGAACACGCTGGGGGCGGGGCCACGGCTATACAAGGGAAAACTCTATGGTTTCCCGCCCCCAGCGTGCACAGCATCATAATGTCACTTCCTAGTGACGTGCATGCGGCGCGTGCACGCGCGCCGGCCAGGAGTCCCCCGCGGAGGAGGTGAGTGCCACTTGGCAACCCTACACTTAGGGGAGGGGTGGCCAAAGCTGCTTAATGTAAGAGCCACATAGAATAAATGTCAGATGTTTGAGAGCTGCAAGACATGTTTTTACTGGGAAATATTCAATTTTGCTTCTTATTAACATTAAATGAGACTGCCAAAAATAATATCAAAAGCGGTAAAAGCAGATATTGTTAATGATATTTATTTGTTCAATGATATTTGTTTGCTAATGATATTTAGCTTCCCCAGCCGCCCTGCCAGGAGCCGCACAATATGTGTGAAAGAGCCTCATGTGGCTCCCAAGCCACAGTTTGGCCACCCCTGACTTACGGCTTTATAGCCAACAAGAAGCATCTTGAATTGAAACCAAAAGCAAACAGGAAGCCTTATTCCCACACAGAATTCCCTATTCAGGAACAGATTGCATCCAACAGGAGTATTTATTTAAAACACTTTGTACTGTCTTCCCATAAGCTCAAGGTGGTTTAACTAACATTCCTTCAGCAGGGAATCCTAGAAACACTGCCAGAAAATAAGCCAGGCAAAACCTGATCCTTCAAATATTATCTGACAAAGAAATGTTTTTGCGTTCTTTCCAGAAATTCGGGAGAGGTAACACTTTTTTCAACAGTTTCCGGAAAGAGGTTCCAAAACATAAGCAACATTACAGTAAATGACCTACTTCTAGCTGCCACCATTTCTGCCTGACATAATGACAAGCATAGCAAGACTTGCTGCCCCAGTGTTAACTAGCACATAAGCCCAATGAGCACATGAGCTGGAATAACATTAAGAATTAAATAAGTCCGCACAATGCAAGGATGAAAGTATTACGTACCAACAATTTTGTCAACTGTGTCATGATCATCAAACGTCACAAAAGCAAAGCCTCTCTTCTTTCCACTCTGCCTGTCTTCCATTACTTCTATGGTTTCGATCTTGCCATATTTTTCAAAATAGTCTCTTAAATTATATTCTTCCGTGTCTTCCTTAATCCCCCCCACAAATATCTTCTTCACGGTTAAGTGGGCACCAGGTTTCACAGAATCCTGTAAAATTCCAGGTTTATGTTCAGCAGACTGGCAAAACAGCATGTTGAAAACAGATCGACATAATACAAACGATTTATAAATCAGGGCTTCACGATTCAGCCCATTTTAACTCACTTCTCTGGAAACGGCTCTCTTTGGTTCCACTACACGTCCATCAACCTTATGCGGCCGAGCTGCCATCGCAGCATCTACCTCCTCCACGCAAGAATAGGTCACGAAACCAAACCCGCGGGAACGTTTTGTCTGTGGGTCTCTCATTACCTATACCAAAATGTATAGCGTGAAATTAGAAACTGACACAGGTTTTTTTTAGTAAAACAAACAAACTTTGATCTGGATCTCAAGGCCTGTGAATGGGACAGAGTTCAAAGAACCAGGAGCCCTCTGAGCCTCCTGAAGAGCTGCCTCTCCCCAGGATCCACAGGAGAGCCACGGCATGTGGCACAGATTGCAGCTTGGGCAACTGAGGGTGGACGGCAGAAACCAGCATTCTTGAGCGAGATGTCGCTCCACCTGTGTAAGGTCACCCAAGGAGGGGATTTCTGCCTTGCTCCCTGCAAGCTATACCTCCCCTTCCCTCACACCCTGTCTTCAAGCCATGCTCAGGGGCAGGGGTCATTTCGTAGAAAAAGAGCTAGGGGAACTCATTAGCATAACTCATTAGCATATGCCATACCCCCTGACATCACCGGAAGTGTGTCATAAGGCCACACACCCCGCCCAACGGTCCCGGCCGCCGCCGCCGGCCTTGCAGCTCCACTGCCGAGCCCCATGAGGGGCCCGGCGGTGGACCTGCAAGGCCGGCGGGAGTGCAAGGAAGCCCTGCGAAGGTCCTCCCTGGCCCCAGGCAGGCAGGGGTGGGGAGAGGCAGGGAGGAAGCAACTTACCCTCCCTCTTCTCCTGCCTCCTCCTGGCTGAATGAGGGCCGGAAGCGGGGCGGCCAGAAGCAGGGGGCGGGGCTTCGTCATGTGCCCCGCCTCCCCATACCTCACCTGGGGGAACTGCGATCCCCCGTGATATGACCTCTGCTCAGGGGTCTTTAGGAGTAACTTTTCAGGAGACTCAAGGGGTTGCAGCAAAGACTTCTTTCGGGAACTCTACGCCATTTAATAAACAAGTCTGTCTGTTTTGGAGTAAAACAGGTAGTTTACTGTGTTCACTTACCACACAGTCGGTGAGTGTGCCCCATGTTTCGAAGTGTTCCCTTAAACTATCATCGGTAGTTTCAAAGCTTAGGCCACCAATAAACAGCTTCCTTAATTGTTCTGGTTCCTTAGGATCCTGGCCCTGAAACAAGGAAAGTGTCAGCGTGCCGCATTAGATGCATAATAGATAAATATCGCTGTAGAGTCAACAATGTATCTCTGTTCTCATGCTATTGTCAAGAGCAGACTTTTCCCATCAGACACAACAGCACAATAGAACAAAATGTAAAACCCTCATTTAGACTGGCCTGTTTATGGGTTTTTCTTTAAAAAAAATTCAATACATGACTAGTTAGAAATACACCAGATTCAATTTATTTGCTGTAGTTTTATATCCCACATTTCTTTTTCAGAAGTAAAATTTCAGGGTTGCTTAAAGCAAGCGCAAATAAAAAGGCTTTTCTATCTCCACTTCCCTTTCCTGTAGAATGGCTGGCCACTGGTACAGCCCAAGGAAAAGGACCAGGAGACAATTAGCAAGGCAGGCTGATAGAAGGAATCTTGTGGGTCTTACCAAATGGCTGGTTACTGATGTGAGTATGGTTGCTATCCTAAGCACACTTACTTCCAAGTAAATGTGTGTTCAGAATTAGGTCTGGGAGTAATACTGTTTTATCTTGCTTTTAAATGTTTTATGCTAACTTTGGCATATGGTGCCATCAACTGTGAGCCACCCTAAGCCCATTCACAGGGAGGGCGGGATATAAATCCAATAAATAATAGTAGTAGTAGTAGTAATAAATCCCAATCTGTGTTGCTAGGGAGACAATGAGATGGACCTCATCCTACGCGTGCATACTGCTTGGAGGTAGGTCTTGCAGAGTTCAGCAGACCTTGCTTCTAAGTAAAATGGGCACAGGATAGCAGCTGAGTACTACTTCAGCTTTTTATGCTTTTGGCCTAGTTCATCAAGTCTCCCCCCTTTAAAGATGCCATTTCTATGCATTGTTTAGGGTTAGTTATTTATGACATTTAAGGAGCTGATTAAGTAACAAATAGCCTTTGAATTATCCTGAGTTTCAAAGAGCAGATAAAATCAGCACGGGATGATTAATCACTGTTAAATCTAAGGCAGTCTTTTCTAGTTAAGGCGTGTTTATTTATAAGAAAGTGATTTCAGAACAAGACAACCTCCTTTAACTTGGCAAATTTCTAAATAATCTGGCCACGACACAAGAATGCTGTGCTCTCTTTATAAAACACATTCCCATTATGTATGCTTGATTATAGTTCAGAAAGCATATTACTGGATGCACAAGCAGAGGGAACCCCTGTACATCACATACTTGAAAAATGTTTTCAAAAGCTGTAGGACAAGTCCCTATGCTCCACTCTAATGCACACCATTCCATGCTGTGGGTGGAATGTTTTAAACAGTATGATTAATGAAGTACATTTTCTTATACACTTTTATGATGTTGTTTTATTTATTATTATTTATTTATTACTTTCGTCTTACTATCCCGCTCTAATCCCCGAAGAGGTCTCTGAGCGGCTATACAGTTATCCATTATCCCTATCTAAGGCCACAATTCATCAGGGGTGGGGACATCCCTACCAGCACCCCGTGGAGGGGGGTTGTTCTTCCTCGGGTCGGCTTTTTTTTTTTTAGTTTTTAAGCTATATTTACTGAAGATACAGTAGGTGCCAATAGTTTCATAGCTCATTTTTGCCCATTCTTATTAAAACTGCAGATATATTTTGTGCAGAGTATGTGCTATCACCCATGAAATCACTTAAGTGAATTATGCATGTAGAAACTGCATGCTTTATTACAAATAATATGCAAGATAGACTGGATGCGCGCCTTAAAGTCTATAAACAGATAATTCCTGGAGATATAAAAAACAAAGTTCTCTTTGCTCTCAGTAGAGTCTCACTTTAGTCATGTGCTTAGAATCTCTCTCCTTAAAGCAAGTAAGATAGTGTAATGATTCCCCAAGAGCAACCATGTTTATAACATCCCAAGGTAATTTTATTATGCCTCCTTGGAAACACTGTAGTTTTCTGAATTAAACTTGTACTACAAATGCCCTCAGCTTGGAGATTCTAAAGTTTCAAAATGTATACAGGGTTCCAGAAGTGCAAGAGGAGGCAGCAGCCATTCCATCGAGAAAGCTACAGGTTGCCAAAAGCCAGGTACAATGGCCTTTCTGCAGTCACTTTTTACAGACCACCTCATTATTCCTAATTATTCTTAAGCCAAAAATAATACCTAGATTATACTGTTGGAACACCAAAAGCCCACTTCACCTATATATTTCCAAGAACCTTTACTGTTCTCTATCAGGGATTTTATGGCAATTATTTTGGCATACTAGGACCTTCATAGTAACATACTGATAATGGGCCGGTGTGTGGCATGTTTATTTATACTTACCTTAGAGCCTGCCTTTCTTGCTGAGACTCAAGGCAGATTACAGCACAGTGGTCAGTGTGCCTGACTAAGACCTAGGTTCAAACCCCCACTATGGCATGGAAGACTGGGCTGGGAAGCTGGGAGCCTGCCTTTCTTGCTGGGAGACTTTGGCTAGTCACACTCTGAGATTAACCTACGTTACAGGGCTGTTGTGAGGATAAAATGGAGATAGGGAGAATGTTGTAAAAGTGGGGTACAGATGCCAACAGGAGCAAAATTCAAGTCATCTGTACTGGAAGGTTTCCATACAGGACCATGTGTCACAACCAGCCCAATGGGGAAAGGACAGCTACCTCTCCCTTATTGTTCTTGCCTTCCACAAACAGGGTTTATCCTGTGCCTGTACCATTCACTGATCTGTAGTGAATTGTTGGGATGGCCCTGCCTTGCTGCAACAGGTTGCGATCCCTTACAATTCTATAGCACTAAGCCTGTAATCATTTTAGAAATGACACAGGATACAAGTTATTCAGGTGAATTCAGTAGTATACAAAACAACGCTTACAAGGAACACTGTCTTTAAGCATTTATATTTGGGAGGGGGGAAAGAGTTAGACATTTAGTGGGATGTGCGTGTTCAGGATCTAAGCACACGCATGCTGCAGAAAATGCCTTCGGGTGTTTGGAAAGCCATAGTTCTGCACTAGTTTATGCTTCGTTATTTGACAGTTGCATTGTAGTTCACAGTTCAAAATGAATTTCTCAAAAGCAGCTTTGTTGCTAAATATCGCTAAAACATTTTGTAATAAAAAAGTATTCAGAATGCTAGCCCATTCACAGCAGCATTTCACATAGGTGTCAGTAGAGGTATAACATCTGGGTTGTATCACTTCAGACTAGAGATGAGAAGCTCACATGGTTGGATGCTCCTTCACGTCCACAAAATTCTCCACACAGGAAACTGGGTGCATCAGGGTGAAAGGTTATGATTTATTCTAGCCTTTTATCTCTGCAAAATTTTTGTGTGGAAGGACAGTCAAGAGAATTCCTACCTACAGTTCACAGTGGTTCAGACCCTGACACCTCTATCACCACAAATAAGAAAGCTCCAGTCAACTGGAAATCAAAGTAGATTATTTCAACTGCCCAGGCAAACATCCAGATCAGAGTGATTTTCACCTTGCTCTTGATTTTGACATGGTACAATTTAACCTACCTTTAACTACAATTTCTAAGGTGAAGTGCCTTCTATAGCGTTTGATCACTACTGATTTTAAATTTCTCCATTTACAGGAACACAACTTATGCAGAAGCAGCTTACTACAGATATCCCAAACTAGTGTGGGGAATTAAAAGCAGAATATAGCCAAAGTAGAAGAAAATAATGTAGTGTGGGTTTTGTGCCACACATGGAACAACCAGAGCAGCAGATAGCATGTACCTAGGCAAGAATTTTGTGTAAGAAAACTAGAAAAATAAATATTCCACCTGTGAAGATCTTCTTCCCCTCCTCTTGTAATCTTCAGCCTCTCTCTCCTCTTTACACGCCATTTTGAGAGAGTGTTCTGACTCAGTTGCTCCTTTTAACCTAGGTAACAAGTAGTACGAGTAATTTACCCGTCTCTGAAAGTCTTTTTCTTACTCTCATACAAAATAAAAGGGCACTCTAATTTTAGTGGAGCAAATACAAGGAGCCACCTTAGTTTAAGGGATGGCGGCGTATGAGACAATTAAAAAAAACAAAAAAGGGGGCAGCTTTGTTTTCAAGCCGCTTTTTGAAAGATGGAATTCAAGATTTACGGCCTAACTTGCACGCAACAGCTAGCCAGAAAGACAACACCTGAACAGATCAGATGTAGTCTCATAGTATCACTATCTTTTTTTTAAAAAAATGACAGTTTAACTATGGCAGTACATACTGTGGGCCTGTAAAAACAAGTATATTTATCGCTGTCTGCTACAAAACCGTACCAAACTGCTAGCTTTATTCAAACAGGTTTAGACCATCCAATATTTGAATAAAGTTGTTTCCACACTTCAATCTAGGACAGTTGTGCTGTGTTAATCCATTTACTCTCACTAATCATGTAGGTGGTAGAAGCAAAGCTCAGCTGGGAGAGGTAGAGAAAGAGAATGCAAGCCTTGAAACACTGCACAAGCGCAAGCCCCAACAGATCCCACATGGTTGGTTATAGACAGAATGTCCCAATTAGAACTTGAGGTCACTAGTGGAATTACAGCTCTTTAGAGGAACAGTACTTAGTTCTAGTTGCTTTCTGTTGGACAAAATGCACTTGCTAATGCTTAAAGAACTGGATAATGTTTAGAGATTTTAAAAATATCACTAAGTTTCATATGCAAAGTCCTTAAGTTACAGTATGTACTTTCTAGTGCTTCTGATCTGATACTGTCATCTTGCTTTACTTTATATGGCATTTAGGAAATCTTTATTAAAATATTTGCTCAGCTAGACCATTTAGCTAGTTTTTAATGAGCTACTTATTGTAAGCTTCCAGTCTATATGCACACAAGGGTTCCAATAAGAGGTAAAAAAAATTGTGTTTAGGTTTTACTCAGTTCTAGTAACTTTATTTTGAGATAAATTGAATATGCTTTAGCAAATCACACATTCCTCCATGCAAACACTTTAATAAAGCATGACTGAAAAATGTGCTACTTTTTATAAAGCTGTTGTTATTGAACCAGGTTTAATTATTAACATAACTGAGCTCACATTTGGAATGGCCTGGGATGGTAAAATATGCACTACTGACTCCTGAAAAGAGTTTATAAAATCCTATTGATCTATATTTCATATCATAATTTAGCACTGGATTTAAGTCAAATACTATTTTACATTGTTTACTTTCTCCTATGTAAACATCCATAGGATCTTTGTGGTGATACTTATTTGCAAGTAAGTTTCACTCATTAGTGGGACTTGATACTAAGTTAATGCTCAGGATTCAGATACCCAGAGTTTAAACATTCCAGGGAAGACACAGCATTAATATCATTATTTAAGTATCATTGGAAGACCTGGTTCCTTGCATGCATACTGGCTTCGGCATCCAGGAACTAAACTTGGGGGGGGGGGCACACACACAAATAAAGCATGTGATATGTACATTACAATGTCAAAACCCCTAACTAAAAACTCAAAAAAAGTCGAAATGATTCCCTCGTTTGGCAACTGGGTGTCACAGGCAAATTTAAGTCTCTCAGGACACCAGAACTCTCTACATAAGGATCACTGCATATATGGAAGGTAGTTAATTTTAGCCCTTGTGCAACTACGTAGAGACTAGATTGTTGTTTTTTTTAATATACTGAAAGGGCGTCTAACTCATTGCCCAATCAAAAGCATGTGTATTCGGAGGTCTCACTGAAAGCGGTGGGTTAAGTGTCCAATTTCTAATTATAAAACCTGCAAAATAATAGTAATAATAATCCTGGCCTTCCCCCCCCCCCCAAACCCTGTTTTT